TTAGAAGGCAAATAAAAGGCAGCATCTCTCATCCCTGTTCTTCCTGCCTCTAGCCCAATGCACATGCACAGTGGGCATTAAATGAAGAAATTAAGTCTATTCCCAACCCCATTCCCAGACCCGTCACGTGCTTCCCTTCTCACTGTGCAGTTTATCACAGTTGTTTGGCATGTAAGATATGTAAGCTCCACAAAGGCAAGCCACATCAATCTTATCCACAATTCTACTCCCAGAACTTAGCACTCATCAATCACATATTCCTGGCACAAATATGCTCAGAAAATAATTGCAAAATAAGTTAACTGAGAAATGAATATATTCTGGGGAGAAAGATACTTGAGATGAGGAACACAGGCAAAAAGTTTTAATGACTTAAAAATATATACTAAATAGATACTAAGATAGGCTCTAGCAGTGAGGGACCAAAGAATTTTCAGAGAGACATGTTTTTAATTGCCACCTCCCCATATCTCACAGATTATTTTCTGAAGTCCAATTCAGTTATGCTCATTTGTTTACAAGATCTGGTCTTGGAAATTCACTCTATTAAAACATCCACCTCTAATTTTGAAGGTTGATGCAAGGTTATCATCTCTCATCCTTTCATAATAATCTAGAAAAAATGGCATCAATAGCCTTATATGTGACTCCTGAAAGGTTGGCAATCCCTAAAATTGAGCATTTCCATGCACTTGAAGGGAAGATGAAAGCTATATTAGTTGTTGCATCAACTAACAAGGGAGGGATTTGAAAATCCCTCAAGTGATTTTTAGAGTCACAGACCCAATACTCAGGTGTGTAATCACGTAAGTATATGTGTGTGTGTATAGACAGAAACAGATACATATGTATATAGATTCTGTGCTCTTTTATGTCATGGTCAGATTCAACCACAAGAGGAGACACAGGAGAGGGTCAAGAAAACAAACTTTATTGTACTCATTGGTACTAGAATCAGGAGGTACGCCATCCCATTCAGAGCCACACCGGAAAGCACCAGCGCCCCACACAGGCAGAAGCAGCAGAAGAAACAAAGGGAGGGTGCTGGCCACAGTCTTTACTGGTTGTTCTTCAGGAAAACCCTGGCAAGGCAAAATAAACAGTTTGCAGTTGACTGGTTTGGATAATTTAATTGGATGTAAACTATAGCAGGGGCTTCCCAGCTGGCCCAACAGCAAAGAATCTGCCTGCAATGCAGGAGACACGAGTTCAATCCCAAGGTCAGGAAGATCCCTGGATAAGAAAATGGCAACCCACCCCAGTATTCTTGCCTGGAGAAATCCATGGACAGAGGAGCCTGGTGAGCTACAGGCCATGGGGTTGCAAAGAGTCAGACACAACTGACTGGCTGAGCATGCACACTATCTATGGGAGCGGCCTCTAGTTGCTTGGAGCCTGGCTCTGGATGGTTAAGGTAGAGAAATATTGCCTCCAGGGGGTACACGAGCCGGATGGAAGAAGTAGAGCTCTGCATTAGTTAGTTTGCATGTTATAGGCATTCTCTTGGCTAAGTCCTTTGCTAGATCTCTAAAAATTGGCTAGTCCCCAAAGGAGCAATCTTTCCAGTCAGAAAAGGTTTTTTTAATATGTCAAAACTTTATAATATACAAAAATTAAATATAAACAGTATTTTATATATGTATATGAATATATTTAAACTAATATACATCTATATAAACTTCCATATGTAGGGTAAGGGAGTCAGAGAAGGCGAGGTTCGGAAAAAGAACAAGCCCAGCACTTTACAGGACCAGATCACCTTTAATGAGGCCAGAAGGGGCAGCATTAGTGAGCTGCTGCGCTAACCCAAGAAAAAAGTATATATAGGCATATATGTGGAAATCCACTGTCTTAAGGGGGCCTGTTCTTCTTCAAGGTTGTTCGGATTAGTTCTCTCTCAAACAACTGGGGCAAGGAATTCTGGAGATCCGCCAGAGGCTGGACCGGCTGGGAGCAGGGCGTAATCAACCTTAATGTACATTTTTTTCTTCAGGTGAGAGAGTTCGTTGTTTTGCAAAGAATGGTGGGGAGGACCGGGAGGGGGTTATTTTGAGCTGTGTAACTTTCCTTCACTAAATATATATATATATATATATATATATATATTTATATTTATACGTAAACTGAGAGATATGTGTGTATGTATCTGCGTGTGTGTGCCAGTTTAAATTTGACTCATTCCTTAACCTGCCTAATTAGTAACAACTTAAGCACATCATGGGTTGCCTCTGTTTTCTAGTCCAATTCAATCTGATTTCTCAATTTATTTACATTCTGTTTGAACTCCCTCCCAAGTTTTCTTCCTCTCCCTTCTTCCCTATAACTATGTCTAATCCCTACTAGGTCAGGTACTGCCACTCCACCAAACAAATAATTCTAGCTTTCATTCAGTTCAGACGCTCAGTCATGTCTGACTCTTTGTGACCCCATGAATCGCAGCACGCCAGGCCTCCCTGTCCATCACCAACTCCCGGAGTTTACTCAAACTCATGCCCATGGAGTCGGTGATGCCATCCAGCCATCTCATCCTCTGTCGTCCCCTTCTCCTCCTGCCTCCAATCCCTCCCAGCATCAGGGTCTTTTCCATTGAGTCAACTCTTCGCATGAGGTGGCCAAAGTATTGGAGTTTCAGCTTCAGCATCAGTCCTTCCAATGAACACCCAGGACTGATCTCCTTTAGGATGGACTGGTTGGATCTCCTTGCAGTCCAAGGGACCCTCAAGAGTCTTCTCCAACACCACAGTTCAAAAGCATCAATTTTTCTGCGCTCAGCTTTCTTCACAATCCAACTCTCACATCCATACATGACCACTGGAAAAACCATAGGCTTGACTAGATGGACCTTTGTTGGCTTTCATTAACTCCTCCAATTATTGTTCAGCTCAAACTGATAATTGCCAAGAGGAATTTGAGCCCATTAAGATCAATTTTTAAAGAAAAAATACAAATTTCTCCATGAATTAGCCTAACCTTTTTGTTTTTAAATGTACCCTCCTACACACACACACACACACACACACACACACACACACACACACACCCCACACACACACACACCCAGAGGTCTACTAGCCAATCAGATTGTAATTTCTATTCAACACTTCTAGAGGGTCTGTGCGTGTAAGCTTTGGGGGTTTTTAAACCTGAACTTTTCAAACTGCAGCTGATCAATTAGTAGAGCAGTAGAATCAATTTTTTTTTTTTTTTTTTTTTATCACAACCATAGTGTATCTTTTTTTTTTTTTTTTTTACATGTATTCCCCATCCCGGTCCCCCCTCCCACCTCCCTCTCCACCCCATCCCTCTGGGTCTTCCCAGTGCACCAGGCCCGAGCACTTGTCTCATGCACCCAACCTGGGCTGGTGAACTGTTTCACCCTAGATAATATACGTGTTTCAATGCTGTTCTCTTGAAACATCCCACCCTCGCCTTCTCCCAGAGTCCACAAGTCTGTTCTATACATAGGAGTCTCTTTTTCTGTTTTGCACATAGGGTTATCGTTACCATCTTTCTAAATTCCATATATATGTGTTAGTATACTGTAATGGTCTTTATCTTGCTGGCTTACTTCGCTCTGTATAATGGGCTCCAGTTTCATCCATCTCATTAGAACTGATTCAAATGAATTCTTTTTAATGGCTGAGTAATATTCCATGGTGTATATGTACCACAGCTTCCTCATCCATTCATCTGCTGATGGGCATCTAGGTTGCTTCCATGTCCCGGCTATTATAAACAGTGCTGTGATGAACATTGGGGTACACGTGTCTCTTTCAGATCTGGTTTCCTTGGTGTGTATGCCCAGAAGTGGGATTGCTGGGTCATATGGCAGTTCTATTTCCAGCTTTTTAAGAAATCTCCACACTGTTTTCCATAGTGGCTGTACTAATTTGCATTCCCACCAACAGTGTAAGAGGGTTCCCTTTTCTCCACACCCTCTCCAGCATTTATTGCTTGTAGACTTTTGGATAGCAGCCATCCTGACTGGTGTGTAATGGTACCTCATTGTGGTTTTGATTTGCATTTCTCTGATAATGAGTGATGTTGAGCATCTTTTCATGTGTTTGTTAGCCATCTGTATGTCTTCCTTGGAGAAATGTCTGTTCAGTTCTTTGGCCCATTTTTTGATTGGGTCATTTATTTTTCTGGAGTTGAGCTGGAGGAGTTGCTTGTATATTTTTGAGATTAATCCTTTGTCTGTTGCTTCGTTTGCTATTATTTTCTCCCAATCTGAGGGCTGTCTTTTCACCCTGCTTATAGTTTCCTTTGTTGTGCAAAAGCTTTTAGGTTTCATTAGGTCCCATTTGTTTATTTTTGCTTTTGTTTCTAAAATTCTGGGATGTGGGTCATATCAATCAATTAGTAGAGCAGTAGAATCAATTTTAATGCACACTAATCCGAATATTTAATGGACTCAGAATTTAGGATGGGATGAATGGTATCAAAGGAAAAGCATAAAAGTGAAACGAGTTAGATTGCTTTGAGAAATGTTATATGTACATTGCTGGGTAGCAAGTGACATAGAAAGTGAGTGTATTTCTCACTAAGGAGAGTGGTCAACAAGTTTGGAAACACGTATGTGTGAGACTTAGGTATTACTCGACTTAAATCGTCCAGAATCCGAAAAGAATAGGAACAGAATGGAGAATGTAGACTCCCTATGGCCTTGATTCTTCCCTCTTCGCCCAGGGAAGCGAAAACAAAACCAAGTAGCCGGGGTGCGCGCTACTGGCTCGAATACAATGGGAACCCCGTGCCGGGCCGCACCTCCTTTCCCCGAGAGGGCGCCACATAGAATCCTTTCTCCACAAGTGCAGGACGGCGCGCGCGCCGGGAAGCATTTCCACCCGGGACCCATTTCCTCTACGCACCAGGGGTGCTCCCATGACGCATTTCCGGCTGGCCGCACTGCGCACGTGTGACTCGAGAGGAACTAACGTCACTTGGGAGAGCCGAAAAGCTGGGCTGTGGCGCCGTGTTGAAGGCACTTTACCGGCAACATGTCTCATTTACCGATGAAACTTCTACGCAGGAAGATCGAGAAGCGGAACCTTAAATTGCGACAACGAAACCTAAAGCTCCAGGGTGAGATGCGCTGAACCTCTCGGCGACCCGGGTTGCGGAGGGGGCCGGCACGTGGGCCGAGGCGCGGCACGGCAACGAGCGGCGCTGCTGACTACGGCCCCGGTGTGGCGCTGGCAGCTTCCCCCGGAGCACGCTGCTTGGGGAGCGGGGACAGGCAGCCCGGGGCAGCCTCCATTCGGGCCCAGCGCAGGTGCCGACGCCGCTCTGCCCCAGATCTGCCCCTGACCTTTCAACTGCAGTTTCTCCTTTCAGAACGCGGAATAGGACGCCGGTTGATTCTCTTTCCAGCTGTGCTTCCAGCTGAACCAGGCTGCCCCACTTCCACCCTCCCTATTCCGACTCCTTCTCGACCTCTAGGATCCACCTCATCCCCAACCCCCATCTCCTAGCAGACACGTGGGACTTTCTCATCCCCGCGCGTCTTCCTTTCACATCATCTATCTCGTGTGTGTATCGTTTCAAAACAAGCTGGGTGTCACTCATTTCATGGACATCCTTGATACCCTTGTTTTCGCCTACCTACCTGCATGTCTCGACTTCTGCAGAAGTTCATCTCCTTAAGTGTCTCAGGCACGGTCATAGGCGTGATGCATTTGCTCATGCCCTGTCTTCCCGTCTTCCCTAACTTCAGGTTATACATTTCTTAGGAGCTTCTGCGTAGTTGTGTCCAGAACAAAGACTATTGAAAAGCATTTTACCTGAATGTCACTTTTCTTTAACTACCTCGGTTGCAGTCCTAACTTTCTTACGGTGGAGCAGACATCCTGAAGTTAGTTATGTTAGCCTTTTAGGTCCTGTATAACAGCGGTCCCTAACCTTTTTGGCACCAGGGACTGGTTCATGAGAGACAATTTTTCACGGTGAGGAGTGGGAGCGGGGTGGTGGGGGGAGACGGGCGGTCCGGATGATTCAAGCCCGAATTACATTTATTGTGCACTTTATTTCTGTTATTTTTATATCAGCTCCCACCTCAGATCATCAGGCATTAGATCCCAGAGGTTGGGGACCTCTGCCCTGATAGACTTACGACCCCATAGGGCAATGTTGGAGGCATACTGCCGTATACTAGTTGGTTTTCTACAGAGATTAGTTGATTGAAAGAAATCCTGGAGGAGGGAACAAGTGTGTGAATTTTAGGAATGTTTTTGAAGTTCCGTAGTGTTTACATTTCCTATGGAATAACAAACCATTGCTGACTTCTTCTTGGTAGTTTAAGGTAACAAAAGATGGTACTTTGTCAATGTATAAACAGAAACTTGTAAAACATTGTTAGGCATTTATATACAATAAATATCAAGGCAAATAAGTAGTTTCATCAACAGAATTTTCAATCCACTGACATCTAAGAAAGTAGATTTATCAAATACCTAATATGTATGTTTTGTAAGTACCGTTGTTTGGCCCCATAGGTTTCTTGTTTAAAACTTTTAACTCCTTATGAACAGAGAGGTGGTTTTTTGAAGTTAAAAAATCAATGCTGTGTTCTCTCCCTGTTTTTAATTTACTTGTCCTGCAGTGAAACACTGTAAAATTGGAACTCATTTTAATTTTCATAACAGGGAAGTAAAAGCTAGATCATTTCAGTACTGGAAGCCACGACATTTCATTAGGGATTCCAGGGTTTCTAAGCAAGCCTCTCCTTTGTCACAGTGTTTTCTGTTTTTAAACAGGTGCCTCAGCTGTGAGCCTGTCGGAAATTCAAAATGGAGATGTGTCTGAAGAAACAGTGGGAGATGAAAAAGTTAAAAAGTCCATAAAGCAGTCTGTTAATGTGGGCTTGTCAGAAGCCCAAAATGGAGATATAGCTAAACAAACAGTAGGAAGCAGAAAAGTTAAAAAATCCCTGAAACAACCCATGAGTGCTGGGTTGTCAGAAGCCCAAAATGGAGACATATCTGAAGAAGCAGGAGTAGGTGGAAAAGTAAAAAAGTCCCGAAAACAGTCTATGAATGCAAACTTGTCAGAAGCTAACAATGGAGACCTATCTAAGGAAGCCATGGAAAATGTCAAAGTTAAAAAATCAGTGAAAGAGTCTGTAAATACAGGCATGTCAGAAGCCCCAAATGGAGATGTATCTAAAGAAACAGGGGAAAATGTCAAAGTTAAGAAAGCCTCCAAGAAATCTACCACGTTCACCAGTGGAGAATCAGCAATGCAGTGTCCCAATTCAGAAGCAAAAAAGAAGAAGAAGAAAAAGAGAAAAATAGTGGATGATGCAGGGCCTGGTATGTACTTTTTTTTTTTAACTTAAGCTATTACGTTTTTCAAGTTATCGTTCTCCCTTTCTTCTCTGAATAAATGGAACATTAATTCCCTAGTGAGTAGAATGTCCAGGATGGGGGAAGAGGGATACTTTCATTTAGAAGATCATTGGACTGAATAAGTTTAGTGAAAGAAGAGGCATTTTAGTTGAACTCTGAGCCGGCAGAGATTTTAGGGGAGGGTCGGACTGTTCAGCTTTCTGCCCATTTCTGCAGTAAAGCTTAACTGGAGTGCTGTGATGCCCATTTGTTTACTTGACCTTTGTGATGACAGAGACCATGCAGCCTGCAAAACCTGAAGTGTTTACAAATCTGGTTCTTTATAGATAACATTTGCTGACACCTGCATTAGCATGTCCTATTCACCTTTTGTCTGAAATAAAGTTTTCATCTAGAAAGATGCACTGGATTTTCCAAACATGCATGGCTCTCTTTTTACTGCCTACAGACTATAATGCATTTGTAAATTATGAGAAACTGCTTAAACAAAAAGCAAAACAAGACAGAGACTAAAGCATGAGGATTAGACATTACAATTTTGATTTAAAGCGATTGTAATCCTGTTCTAAAATTGTTAGTGCCTTTAGGATTCTTGTTCTGAGTATGCTGGAGGAAGTGATAGTTCTACTCTCAAGCACTGCATCACAGGACTGGAAATTTAAATCCTATTGATAACCTTTAAAGAATTGTTTTAACAAAAAGAGAAGTCATAAGCCTTGATAGTATTCATGGCCTTTGAATGTGTGGGTCCTACAGAGTTGACCATTTCCGACAGAGGTGGTCATAAGATCCAAGGAAGAGACCAGTCCTGGGTTACATAGTCCTGAGTTCTGGTTTAGGTCAATTCTCTTCTAACTAGCATCACTAACTGCCATGAATTTTTAAAAGCCCAGCATGGAATTAACCTATTTGGCCCAAAGTAGAACATTTAAGAGTATGATGGGAGGTAGGACTGGGAAGGTAGTTTAGGGGACTGTTTTGAAAGTTGTGAATATATGCTGAGAATGAAGAGCTAGGAAACCTTCCCTCTCTCCTCCTACCACTTACATTCAAGGAACCAGCCAGCCAGTTTCTGTCACCCAGAAATTAAAACTGAAAATGTGTTAAGCTTTTGAAAATATGCTTTTTTTTTTTTTTTGCATCACACATCTTTTATTTTATGATCTCATTTGGTATTCTTGTTTTTAAAAAATTGGGGGGTATTTGTCCTTTAAACCAAAGATTCCAAAAAAGCAAAAGCTGAGGACACCGCTGAAGATGGTGCCCAGGCTCCTGAAGAAACAGAAAACAGTGTGGAGAAGCCAGACGAGGATGAGGACAGTGAAGTGCCCACCCTGCCCCTGGGAGTGACAGGTAATTATCAGCATTTTTCCAGATAGATTTCTAAAATGTCACACCTCCCTGGATTATAGGATTTAAAGGTTCAGTCGTAGCGTTTAATTTAACTGGAAAAAAATATATTAATAAGTACTGACAAGAAATGGTTTTGTATCTAAATGCTGCTTTTTATCTTCCACGTTGTGTGCTTCAGTTCTTATCTCTTTCTCTGTTTTTCCTTTCTCTGTATCCCTAACATTAAATATTTGCCATGCACGCAAACAGCTCTTGGGTTCGCTCTCTCTCTTTGGTTTGACACTTTCCATGTTACAGTAGGAAAATCGTCGGCATGGAAGTCTGCAGCCCAGAGGTTTAATGCTGGCTCCATTACTGACAGGAGGATGGAATTAACATTATTGAGGGGCTTGTGCCAGGGTCACCTCTGACCTCCATTTCTTTATCTGTAAAGTCAAGAGTTTAGAATCAATTGCTCCTAACTAGAAACATCTAGCAGTTACTTGAGTTGTTTGGTTTGGGGTTTTTGTTTACTAAAATAGTGAAGCCCACAACCCAACCTGTATAATCCTAATTGCAAAGGTTATTACGGCAGTGGTTCTCAAGCAGGGTAATTTTACCTCCTAGATAGGGGGACCCGTCCCAGTTTTCCCATTCAAAGCCCTGGACCCCTTAAGCCTCCTCTGTCCCAGTAAACCATGGGACCAGGTGACAAGTGTCCAGTGGGTAGCAGTCAGAGATGCTGCAGGGCCAGCCTCTCACAGCAGAGAGTTACCCATCCCAGGACGGCGGTGGTGCCCAGGTTGCCAGCCCCTGGATTATAGCTGGGGCGTATGTTGAGCCGGGAGCTCCCGGGTGGCCTGACGCCTTCCCCTGCCAGAGAACCGCCGCACACCTGACGCATTGGCACATTCTCACCATCCCGGGCGTGTCCGGCTCTTCTCAGTTGTCCTTTTGGAGTGAGAGTTACTATTTTGATGACTTCATACTGTTTTTATACTGAGTGTTTTCTGCCTTTATTTCAGATTTCTTAAACATTTCATTTCTCTCTGAATTTGCCCCTGCCAACCTCACACCACCACCTCTCCCCCAGTGCACCCCCACCTTGGCATTTTTATTTTACATAAGTCCCTTGATTGTACCACCTCTCCAACTCTTTGTTATTTTGTTACAGTATAGGCTTTAGATTACACTGCCATTAGCAGTGGAGAAACTTGCAACAAGTATAAGGCCTTTTTCTTGTTACATAGGAATGTTTGGTGTTGAGTCTTTTCTTATTGGAAGAAGCTCTTCTAAGCTTGACACCAACCCAGTAATGTTTTCAATCAGGAAAACTAATTTCGGAAACTAGCCATATTAACTATTCAGAGAAGGTAAATTTGCTAATGATAAACTGTCTTCTGCTTAGGAGCTTTTGAAGATACTTCATTTGATTCTCTGACTAATCTTGTCAATGAGAACACTCTGAAGGCAATAAAAGAAATGGGCTTTACAAACATGACTGAAATTCAACATAAAAGTGTCAGACCACTTCTGGAAGGCAGGTATGGTTAACACTGAGGTTTGGGCATTAGTACTGGGCTTCCCAAGTGGCGCTAGTGGTAAGGAATTCACCTATCAATGCAGGAGATGGAAGAGATGCGGGTTTGATCCCTGAGTTGGGAAGATCCCTTGGAGAGGGAAATGGCAACCCAAGTCTAGTATTCTTGCCTGGGAAATCCCATGGATAAAGGAGCCTGGTGGGCTACAGTCTATGGGGTCGCAAAGAGTTAGACATGACTGAGCCCACACACATACACACACTCAATGTCTCTGTTTTTGGTGCCAGTAGTTTGGAAAAAAAAAATACTAGTATGGTCTATTGATCTCACATTGTGTTGGATAATATATCTAACCTTCATTAAAGGCTTTAGGTTATTTATTGATGTTTGGAGAAAACTGTTCACTTCTGTTTTTAGCACAATTGTTATTTCTGAGTTAAGTGTTTAACCCACCTGATTGATTTTGGTAATAGAGAAAGTGGGGACTATTTTCTTGTTATGATCTAGCCTCAGTGCCTGAAACACGTATGATAGTCCATGGTAGGTATTTCATAAATATTTGTTGAATGAGTAGAGCAAATATGTTTCTCCTTTTTATTTTTTAGGGATCTCCTAGCAGCTGCAAAAACAGGCAGTGGCAAAACCCTGGCATTTCTCATCCCTGCAGTGGAACTCATTGTTAAGTTAAAGTTCATGCCCAGGAATGGTAAGCCTGTGAGCCCACTGTCTCTGTCAGAATCTCACTAGAAGTCTGTCATGCCTGTGGCTGGACTCCTGGTGGTAACTGCAGTTTGACTTTGACCATATACCCTGTTTCACTTTTTAGGAACAGGAGTCCTTATTCTCTCACCGACTAGGGAACTGGCCATGCAGACTTTCGGTGTTCTCAAGGAGCTGATGACCCACCATGTTCACACGTATGGGGTGATAATGGGTGGCAGTAACAGGTCTGCTGAAGCGCAGAAGCTTGCCAATGGGGTCAACATCGTCGTGGCCACGCCAGGCCGTCTCCTGGACCACATGCAGGTGAGAGGACGCTGTTTGCCGCCCCGTCCTCTGTCTGAGAGACTCACTCGGCAGCTGACCAGTCCCTTTCTGTCCTTTGTCTTGTCAGAATACCCCCGGGTTCATGTATAAAAACCTCCAGTGTCTGGTTATTGATGAGGCTGATCGTATCTTGGATGTTGGGTTTGAAGAGGAATTAAAGCAAATCATTAAACTTCTGCCAAGTAAGTGGGTTGCATCTTCATGTGGTTTGCAGAGTAGCTGTTGGAAGTAGCTGAGAATTTTTCCTGTACGAAAACTATTAATGTCAGCATTGTAATTTAACCAAGTGAAGTAGTTGTGCCGGTCAGCCTTAAAGGTAGTTTGCAATATATACATCGATCTTACTGGTAACTTAATACAGTGGTTTTGCCATTTGAAGCTTATAGTGCAAATTAAACAGTTTTAACATATGTCTCATTCCTGTTCATCCCTGCCACCCCATCTCTCATCTTCCAGTAGTCATCGACTTGTTGCCTTCTGTGTTATGTTTAAGTTGTATGTACCTTGGTTATAGTACTTGAAACATTTATAAACTGCTCATATCTATAATAACACTGTGGTTCAGTGCCTTATACGATTTGTTTCTCACTGCTTCATCGAGATATAATTAACATAATAATCTTTACATGTAAAAACATGTAAAGACTATTATGTTTTAAGTATATGATTTGATACATTTTGTCCTGTTTACACCTTGAAGCCATCACCACAGTCAATACAGTGAATATTCTCGTAACTCTCAAAGATTACTTTATGCACCTTTGTGATCGCTCCCTCTCTCCCTCAGTAGCAACAACCCTCACCTGCTTACAACAGCTGCGCACAGGTCTCCTCTCTCACAGGCGGCGTTGGCCTGCTTTCTGCCAGTGTAGATCAGTTTGCATTTCTCAGGGGTTCGTATGAGTGGAATCATACGGTATCCCTGTCTTTTTGTCTGTTCTTGTGCTCAACAAATTCTGTGACTTGCCTGTGCCGTTCCATTTTCAGTAGTTCTTCGCTTTTCCTCCCTGGCGTTCTGTTGTATAAATATGCCACAACTTGTTGTCCATTTAACTGTTGATGGGTGACTGTGTTGTTAACAGGTTTGGTCTGTTACATATAAGGTTGCTATGAACATCCACCTACAACTCTTTTTATGGGCGTATATCACCTTTTCTGTCGTGTGATTATCTGGGAATCTATATGTCTAGGAATCTATCTAGGAGTGACTAGATTATTTGTATCATTTTACATCCCCATCAGCAGAGTATGGAAGTCCCAGTCCCTCCTGTTAGCCCTGAAATTAGGTCGTGTTAATCCTCCAACTCTGTTAATTTGTTTTGTCTGTTCTCATCCTTTGCATTTCTGTATGAGTGTGAGAATATTTGTCAGTCTCTGTGATCTGGGGATTGTACTGAATATCAGTCATTGGTGGAAGATAAAGTCGGGTCCTTCAGCACATGAATGAGGTAGATCTCCGTTTATCAGCTCCCTGATCTCTCTCAGAAGTATTTCAGCGTTTTCACTGTACAGGTTTTTTCATATCTTATGTGAGGTAAAATTTTTCACTTTATTGTTTTCATGTCTGATTGCACTGACCAGACCCTCCAGTGTACTCCTGAGTAGAACTGGCTAAAGAACACATCTCTATCTCACTCGTGGCCTTAGGTGGGAAAGCATTTGGTCTCCCAGCACTAAGTGTGGTGTAGATGCCACACGCCTAGATGCCCTGTATGGGGGGATCCCTTTCGTTTCTAGTCTGCTGTTTCTTAAAGCAGAAATAAATGCTAAATTCTGATAGATGCTTGTATTTCTGAATTCACTTTGCTAAAATTCTGTAAAAGATGAGTTGGAAAGTAAGCTGTCTTAAGTGAGCTTTAGCAGAAATTGTCCACTTCCACTTAGCTGTCAAAGCTGTAAACGTAGAGTTGTCCTGGCTGCTCCTCTTAGTGTCTGCATTGATACCGTGTTTCTCTTTCTGAAAGTTCTACTTAGAGCGCTTTTAGTTGTGAAGCAATTCTAAAAATTCCCTGAAAGATCTGGATTACTTTTATATGGATATGTTTCAGCACGCAGACAGACCATGCTCTTCTCTGCCACACAAACTCGAAAAGTTGAAGACCTGGCGAGGATTTCTCTGAAAAAGGAGCCTTTGTATGTTGGTGTTGATGATGATAAAGCTAATGCAACTGTAGACGGTCTTGAGCAGGTACTTTTTGTCAATACCTTCCATTTTAAGGATCTCCTTTGGTGTTTCCCTGCAAGTGTTTGGAGGATCCTCTGAAAAGCAAATGGGTTAATGAACTTAATAATAATACCACCAATTTTATATGAGGAAAATGGGTTTTGTTGTTCAATAATATCTTGGGCTAAAATGTGAGGTGAGTTAGAAGGTGGAGAGGCTGGTTTCAAGCATGTAACTGAGGTGACAAAGATCCAAAACAGGTTGATTAAAAATAGAACTTTAAGATTGAGTCTTTTGATGAGTAAAATATTTCTTTCCTGTAACAATTTAGCTTAAAAACCTTTCATTTGTCATTTAGTTTTTAAAAATATATTCACCTAGCTTTGTGGTGTTGTTTAGGCTAGTGCACTTCAGCTGTGGTTATTTGAGATCTTGCTGTTAAGGACCTTCTAAAAATGAATCACTGATACGCTTAGAAGGTTCCAATTAATAGAAGTATTGGTATACTATGATTACAAGAACTTGATGACCAGTAGTCTCAGAAATACGGAAAATATTTAGTATCCAATGATTGTAGCCAATAAAAGGAATCAAAAGATTTAAAATCAGTCTTATTTTAGGACTGCATTATTATAATGAAGGTAGTAATTTTGCTATAGGTGAGGCTTAACAGTGTATATGCCATGTTAGTCTGTTCTCTCCATCAAATTACATTGGTTCATGAAGCTGAAAGTATCCATTCGGTTATTTTGTGTCTCTTCACTTGAACCTCTTCTAGGGATATGTTGTCTGTCCTTCTGAAAAGAGATTCCTCCTGCTCTTTACATTCCTTAAGAAGAACCGGAAGAAGAAACTAATGGTCTTCTTTTCATCCTGTAAGTCCGTGAAATACCACTATGAGTTGCTGAACTACATCGATTTGCCTGTCCTGGCTATTCATGTAAGTGGTTATGATAAGTTCATTAAAAACAGCTTACACTTACCAAGTTAAGTAGGTTATGGAGATTGAGGTATTGCTCTCACCTTCAGACATAGTTCTGAGTAGTTTGGACAATAGCAGTTGATGGGTCCTGTGTGGAGGGAACTTTGCTGGGGGGGGGGGGGGGCGGGGGCGCGGGAAGTGGGAACCTGAAAGGAGGAACAGATGCCATCGCTTGGGGAAAGAAGCCAGGTAGTGAGCTTGAAATAAAGCAGGTAGCAGTTCCACAGTTGAGGGGTTCTACATCAAGACATCCCACAAATGCTCTCAAATTTCCTCTTCCAATGGATGTTTGTGTTGGTTCTAGGGAAGGCAGAAACAAAATAAGCGTACGACCACGTTCTTCCAGTTCTGCAATGCAGATTCAGGGATCTTGTTGTGTACAGACGTTGCAGCTAGAGGGCTGGATATTCCTGAAGTGGACTGGATTGTTCAGTATGACCCTCCAGATGACCCCAAGGTAACTGGCATCCTTGGGTTATTGCCCCAGGTTCCCTGAGAAGTACCCCATCCCACAGACTGTTCCTCAAGTTGTTCCCAGTCCCACTTTGGCATACAGCCACACAACAACTCTGCAGCATCTCAGTGATGCTCACAGTGTTTAGGGCTTTCACAGGACCCAGAGAGGGTGTGTGCAAGGAGATTTGAGAGGCATCAGTGGGACTTAGGAATGTTGCCTGCTTGGGGCAGTCTATTAAGATCATTTAGATGTCAGATTAAGAAAATGTGCTTATGGATAGATGCCATTCTTTAGTATATGTAGTAAAATAAATTTTTTTAGGTATTTTCAACAAAAGGTAGATTATATAAGTTGTCAGCCGTTTGAATGTTTCCAAAAACCCTTATGAAGTTGAAGCCCACTTGCTGGTCATTTCATGGATGATAGAATTAATGTAAACGTCCTGTCCGGCTCTCCTTGGCCTCGGTACGCCTCTGTGGGAATGGAGCCTGCAGAAGGGATGGGGGCCCACTAGCTTCGGGGAGCATGGTGATAGGCTGTGTGGCAGTCACCAAGGTTGCCGTGCAAACCAGTGTATTACCTCAGGTTTTCTCTCTCCACCAAAGGAATACATTCACCGTGTGGGCAGAACAGCCAGAGGCCTGAATGGAAGAGGGCACGCCTTGCTCATTTTGCGCCCTGAAGAATTGGGTTTCCTTCGCTACCTGAAGCAGTCCAAGGTAAGGATCTTCACTTGGAAAACCTTACAGTGGGGACAGATTCCTCTCCAGAGGAATTGTTTGCCGGTGCACACGGCCTCAAGGACCGTTTCTAGGTGTGTCCAAGGGGTTCCAAGTTGTCGCCATTCTGTTAGGACAGTTGGTGCAGGGGGTTAGCAAATGAGGTTTCTGTGGGTCTCATCCAGGAAATAGGAGCCAAAAGCTATCCACAAAGCGCTGTGCTTGAGCCTGTGTCCCTCGGGGCGTCCCTGTCCCCAGTCTGCCCACGGCCCTGTGAATCCTCCTCTGCTCCTGCGCCCCTCCTGTCTTCCTCTCACCCACAGCTGCAGGGAGCCCATCCCCTCCTACCTGCTCCTGTTCCGGGCCCTAGTCCTTGCCTGGGGACTGCCTAGCTCTTTACCGTCTGTAATCTCTGACCAGAAAGATAACTTCAGCCCTGAATCCACTCTTGTCACGAGCTCCAGCGTGGCTGCTGCACATCACCTTCCTCGGTCTGCAGTTTTGGAAAGTGGGTTCTGTTTCAGCTCCTCTGATTCTGGTCTCGGTCCACCTCACCTGACTCCGGCCTGTCTGTTACCAACTCTTGTCTGTTACAAGTGAACGCTTGTCCAGCCTTGTCTTGCCCGACGTTTGCCTCATTGGCACATGTTGCTGGTGTATTTTCCCTCACCCCAGCTAGAAGCAGTTCCTAGAAATTGCCATCCAGCCTTTGCAGTTTTTCTCTAGCTGCCTGGTTCCTGGTTCCTCTGGGAGGGCGTCACTGATCTCATCCCTCCTTCATGTGCCCCCACCCCAGGTGCTTATCAGGTTGTCTGCCCACTCACGTGTCTCCCTCCAGGGCTGCAGGGCCCGGGACTCGGGCGGCTGTTCTTTTTCCCCAGCGCCTGCATGGGCACTTTTCCAGTTGTCTCATAAGAGACGACTGGTAAGAAATCCCTGCCGTGGGAGCTGGTGGTCACAAACCCCAGTCACAGGGCAGCGTGGTGTCGGGGCAGCCTTCCCAACCCTGGGAGAAGAGCTGGTGGCTCTGTAAGCAAGAAGCTGAAGGCTGCTTCACCACCTTGCGTCTGCAGAGAAGAGGCTTCCGTGCATCGCCGCCCCTCTCAGCTTCACACCTTTCCTTTGAGGAGGGTCCCGTCAGTGTGCGTTGGGACAGGCAAGGTGCACCTCGCCCGTTGGCATTGGGAGACAGGGAAACAGGCCTCTGGCCTGTGAAATTGAAATTCGACAAGCCTTTTCATCAGTGACTGATGAGCTGCATCAGACCAGCCCGGTTTACTAACCTGCATGCTTTTGTTTTCTAGGTTCCATTAAGTGAATTCGAGTTTTCCTGGTCCAAAATTTCTGACATTCAGTCTCAGGTATGTGGGGGATGGAAGGTGTGGGGCATCCCAGCCCTGTCTCTGTAGTGTCTCATCGCCACTCGCTCTCCTCCGAGCCGCCCTTACCGTAAAGTGGGAAGTCTGAACTTGAGTGGTCATCACATTCCCGTACAGTCTACCTGGTTTCAGTCTGTACCTTAACGTGAATTTTGTCATTATTCTCACTGCACCCTGATTTTGCAGATATTACAAAGCTTGGAGCAAGTGTTTTGGAACAGATGTTATAGATGAATTGTGCTTGCTTGCATTAAAGTCAGTATTTCTTTCTGTTTCAGCTTGAAAAACTGATTGAAAAGAACTACTTCCTTCATAAGTCAGCCCAGGAAGCATATAAGTCGTACATTCGAGCCTATGATTCCCACTCCCTGAAACAGATCTTCAATGTTAATAACTTAAATTTGCCTCAGGTTGCTCTGTCATTTGGCTTCAAGGTGCCTCCTTTTGTTGATTTGAGTATCCTTTTCTCTGTGGTTATGAATTTGTCCAGGAACTGTGGGCCAGCAGCCTGACTGGGGGCTTTGGGGCTTGGCACTCAGGTTGGCTTGTGCTCTGGCTGAGGCCTGGGGCCCAGGTGGTCAGATCAGTCACTGACCTCGTGTCAGCGCTCGCGTGGGGTAGTCAGGGTGGAGACACAGAGACGAGACAGTTTATGGCGTTGAAAAAGGACAGTGGAATTTGAGTGGCAGAGAGAGCCAGGGAAGTGGTCATAGGTTAAGTATGAACTGGATCTAAAAATCCTGCCTGCTGGTTTCAGCCCCCAGTCACGTGGCCACTCCTGGTTCGAGTGGGGCAGGGCGGGAGGGGGTGGGCCCTGGTACACCGCTGGCCGCTTCTCCCTGGGTGGTGGTTTGGAGCTGGCTGTCTTTGTGTTGCTGGATTTCCTTAATGTCCCCTTTAGATGTGAACAGCAATGACAGCAAAGTTAGAAAGCGAGGCGGTGGCGGTGGATTTGGCTACCAGAAAGCCAGGAAAGTCGAGAAGTCCAAGATCTTCAAACACATAAGCAGGAAGCCATCTGATGGCAGGCAGTTCTCTCACTGAAGATACACCCTTGTCCTGAAACGGATTTCATTTTTCTCGCTGTAAGAAAGGAGTTTGTGTTAATTTAGGATTTGGGCTCATCTAACTAGTATGAATTAACTTGGCTCGCCAGCACTGAGGTTTCCAGTGAGTCTCCTTTTTGGAGATATGAAACAGGTTGTGATGTCTTGATTGCCCAAGAGCACAGCAAGGCATCTTTCTAGTTTTTGTGATGATAGGATATGTCTAAGTGTAAATCTTTTTTTTCCCCCAAACTTGTTACTGTTTTAACATAATTCTTTTGGTACCTTGCCTTCCTAGTGTCTGAAGCCTTTTGTGACTTGGATTGCTGTGTCAGCCTGCCAGAAAGGGCAGGTGACCGGACACTAGACAGGTGGTGGTGGTGCAGAAAATTGTCTCAATTTTTTTTGGTTTCAGTTTTTTCTTGGACCGTAACAGTTTTTTGACCCCTGCTGAAAATGTTGCTGTGTCAAAGGGCAGAGAGCTTTGGGAAACCCCTAAGAAGCACCTTCAGTTAAGGGAACACTGGGCTTTTATATGCCAGACTTTAAAATAAGGAGCCTTTTTCTATTTTACTTTTTCAGGAGTAAGAAATATGCCTTGTCATTGTTACTTGAATAAAGCACCCCTGGCAGTCCTGACATTGAGGGTAGGTTGGGGGAAATCCCAGATTTTGTATCTGCTCTTCTCCATTTGGTAACTTAGCAGACTAAGGCACAAAGAACGGTGACACCCCTCAGTCAAATTTGTTTCTTTGAAGTGGTTTCAATATTGGTGAGTCCTTCCAACTGGAAATACTTCCAACAATATTTTGAAGGCAAAAGCATCTTTTTGAGAAAAACTGCCTCTTGCACATCCATGAAACGAAAATAGATTTATGGTGAAAACTGAAAATGAGCACACAACAGAATAGCAAAGTCAGTGGTTTAGTCAGATGGGGTTTTTTGTTGTAATAATTTTTGATTTCTGGTGTGTTTGATGTTTTATTTCTGGTGTGTTTTATAACTACAAAATGGTTATTACATTTCGTAGTAATTTAAAACCAAAGTTGCTAGCATCATTTTGCTGTTGTACCAGTTAATACTCATAGACTCCTATTAAATGTGCTAAGAATATTAAATGTTGAAGAAAGAGTCTGGTAAGCAGCATTCCAGGAGGAAAAGAAGGATGCTGCCCCACAGCTGGGCTTGGCCGCTGTCCCCCTCGCTGGACGTGTGCGGGGCTGCAGACCTTGAGTGCTGGACTCCTGGCATCTAATAACTGTTTCTCTTTACAGTGACTCTTCTTTGTTTCAGAAATAATCATGTTTTAAAAAGTACACAAAAGCAGAGAAGAATATTTAATCACTGGAACAGAAGTAAATACTGTTAATATTTTGATACTTAATCTTCCAGTGTTTTGTATACATACTTTTAAATTTTTTTTATCAAAAGTGAATTAAATGATCCTCTACCCAGTATTTGTAACCGTCTTGTTTCATAATGTTATTTTCCTGTGTCATTAAACAATTACATCAACTTTGTATCATTTATTACTGCTTTCATCTTGCTTGGTCCGCTTGGACTTGAGTCCTGGATGCCAGGAGTGGCATCCTTGATATAGGATCCTTGTTACAGCCAGAACCCAGACTGGCTCTCCTTGTCACATTGTGTCTGGTGTCCACTGGTCTTGCCATTTGTGAGAAAAGCATATAAACAGAACGTGGAAAGATTATTCGTACTCCTGTAATGGCTAACTTCAGGACCTGGTGGGAGTCCTACATGAGACGATGCTAACAAGGCCGGTCCAGCCTAGGGACATGCAGACAAGCAGACCTCACCTCCCTGGCCAGGACTCACACGGGAGGGCCCGGTCACCAGAATCTCGAGGCCCGCTCGCACAGAGAAGACCCCTTTAGCGCCTGTGCTAAGGGCGAAGCTGCAGGTGGCGTGTGTGGGGCCATTGCTTTGACAAATAGGACTGAGTGGCCTCTAGCCAGCAAAGCCCGGCAGCACAGGCCGTGAGCCAAGCACATCACTGTTTCCAAGTAGGAACCTTTGGGTCCTCCAGGCTGTGGGTCATGTTGTCTTTGGAATTTCTAGATTTCTTTTGGTCTTAACTGCCCAGGTGCAAGCTGAATTCAAATAAACTAAAAAAGGATCTTGTTTATTCAGAAATGCATAGTGGTTAAAAACAAGTCTGGAACCAGAATGCCTGGAATCCAATTCCCATTCTGTCTCATTCCTGGGCCTATTAAATGAGTAGAACAAAGTACCAAAACCTACTTTGTAAGGTGGTACGAATTGAATGCAGTAACGTAAGGTACTAGGATGGTGTCCGGTATAAAGCACTCAGTACCTGTGGGCTGTCTATCAGTACATAAATCCTACACGAAAGGCCTGCTGCCCAACGGCAGTAGGTACAAGGACTCAGAAAAGCCTGAACCAGCTTGGGCCTTTTGGAAAATAGACCGAGGATTTTGACAGTCCAGGTCCCCTGGAATTCTGATCAGACCTAGGTTTGGGGACGTGCTCCAGTCCTGTCATACCTTCTTAAGACAACCATCAGGTAGATTCATGCAGTTTTCAAGGCTACTCTTCAGACGGGGTGTTCTGGTAGAACAATGACTTCATAAACCATAAATATGAATTAAGAGCCCGCTAGGTGCCAGAACCTGTGGAGGACACAGATGCATGTGGCTGAGCTCTTAGGAGCCTTGGAGGTCTAGAGAAGTTGTCATAAGATACTGTAACATTGTTTTCCAAGTCATGTGACAGATGCAGATCCATAGAGATACCCCAGCTATTTCTAAGCCTGGAAATTCTGCATCCTTGGCTTCTGGTGGACTTCAGCTGAAAAAGAGGTGTTGGAACATTCTCCACCTATGGATGACAGACTTTTGTTCTGGGACATGAGTTCCCAAATGCCACACAAGAAATGTACCACACAAAAAACCTTGAGGATTTGAAGATTTTTCTTGCCCCGTGCCCAGGAGATTTAGCAGAGCAGGGGAGTCGGTGATTCTCAGCACACTGGGTGTGGGAACATCCAGTCTAGAATACAAACACATACACGATCTTGCTAAACCTTGTAATGCTATCATCTTGCAAAATAAAAATGCCCAAGACAGGAAATGGTGTCAGTGTGTTTAGCCATCCACAAAACAGGGTGGCGGAGGAGGCACCTACGCCTTCCTGGTAAGAAGCCGTTGTGCCTCTGTTCGAATGCCTCGTGGGAAAGCACAGCGGGCGGCCGCAGAGCAGCCTTGGCCGCACGCCTCCCCCAGCCAGGCAGTCTCAAGCTCCCCCGACGGCGCTCCATTCAGCTGGGACCCAGTCGGTCGGTGTTCACACAGGAGATGTCACATAGAGACGGCCATTCTCCCCTCTGGGACGCAGCATCTTCATTTGTTTGAGGGGCCGGCTGTAGTCTGATCTCCTGCCTGTGTGCAGAGAGCATGCATGTCCTGTGGGTTGTCAGGATCACTTCCCATTGGAAAGCAGAAAAGCCTCCCCTATAGTGAGAAGGGCTATGATTTATGCATGAACCGGAAGGCTTCCCAAGTGCGGCTAGTGGTCAAGAACCCATCTGCCAATGCAGGAAACAGCGTGGGTTCAATCCCTGAACTGAGAACAACAGAAAAGGGATCGGATGGGTCGGAAACAAAACAATGTCTTCTCGGACTTTCCTGCTTTCCTACACCCTCTCCCTAGGATGAAAACGTCATGTTTTTCGGATGCTTTGGGCCAGTGAAGCTAAGATGTCCTACAATTCCTGCGAGTCCGCATCTCGCCAGGAGGGAGCGCCTTCAACCGGCCGACCCCTCTGCGCCGGATCCCGGGATTGATCGTCCTCAATTTGTTGGCAGAAGAGGGCGATAGGGAGGTCCCTACCGCTACCCCGGGAGAGAGTGGGGACGGCCACTCGCCAGGCTCCATCCTGCTCAGGGTAGGCGCGAGTGTCCCTAGATGCAGATGGGACACAGCTGCGAGCCTGCGCCCTTGATCCCCGACAGAGCGGGCGCTGCTGGCGGATGGCACAGCGTGGCTCGCAGCCCTGCTCCTAACCAGGGCCGTCTTGCCTAGAAAATCCCCATGGACAGAGGAGCCTGGCTGGCCGCAGTCCGTGGAGTCAGAAAGAGTCAAGCGCGACTTTAGCGATTGAGCACGCAGGGTGATAAAGGAAAAATTTTAAATATCAGAAGCCACACGAGCAGTGGTCTCAACTTTGTTCAGATAACCTGTATTTGAGCATCTAATAAGGGTGAACCAGGTAATAACTAGACCAGGTAGCTCAGCTGGTAAAGAATCTGCCTACAATGCAGGAGACCCTGGTTCCATTCCCGGACTGGGAAGATCCTCTGGAGAAGGGATAGGCTACCCACACCAGTGTTCCTGGGCTTCCCCGGTGGCTCAGCTGGTAAAGAATCCACATGCAATGTGGGTTCAATCCCTGGGTAGGGAAGATCCTGGAGAAGGGAAGGCTACCCACTCCAGTATTCTGGCCCGGAGAATCCCATGGACTACAGTCCACGGGGTTGCAAAGAGTCAGACATGACGGAGTGACTTTCACTTTATGACTTGCCTGGTGGCGCAGACTGTAGAGTCTGCATGCAGACTCTGGTCCATGAGGTCGCAAAGAGTCAGACATGACTGAGCAACTTCACTTTCATTTCACTTTTTTAAGGGTAGAACTCCAGGAGTATAGGGGTGATGCTGATGTCCTTCTAGAAGCTTACTGTGAGAGGGATATGAGATAAATACCAGGACAATGTACTATACAGAGAAAATAACCATCTCCAAGGGTTAAGTGATCCAGAGCAGCTTTGGGAAGGTGTGACATCAGAGTTGAGTCTTGAATGAGGATTTACCTAGAGTGAAAGGGATGAAGGAAGGGGGAATCCAGATGTCCAGGTAACATGAACGCATAAGCAAAGGCAAAGAGGAAGCAGCTTAGGGTATTTGTAAAACAAGAACACCATCCACTTTATTGGGCATCTGTCCTTCCCAGGTGGCGCTAGT